ATCTATAAAGAAACATTCAATTGTCCAGTTGTATTTATTTTCATTATTTTACTTATACTTTAGACAGCATGTGATTTGCACAGAAAACTGGGCAGGCAGGACTATAATGACAACTCAGTTTCCAAGAATTCTATTATTTAATGACAGTCCAAAGTTCAGTACATCAGTCAAGATGACAGAGGTACCCAAAAACACTGGGCAGAGGCAGGGTCAGAATACAATAATGTCAAAAAAAATCCACTATAGGCAAGAAAGCTTCGGGAAAAAGGGCTGAAAAGCCTGCTGGAAGAAACAAAGACGGCATTGGTAGTGCAGGCAGCAAAGGTGGGAGAAAACAAAGCTGCCATATCACAGTGATGAGACATTAAACTGACAGTTTTCTTTACAGTTTATCCACACTTAAATAAATACTGGGTTGATATGTCCTAACATAGAGTGAACTTCATCAATAAATACATGATAGAATAAAATTTGAAGATGATTTTAGTAAGTATAAATTAGTCAAATTTACAGAGGCAGAGAGCTGTAATCTATCTAAAAAATAAATAGAGCAGTACAAATTGAAATAAAATATATATTGGCATTAATTAAATATTTATGGTATTCTTGCAGTTTGCTTGTGTAATTGCAGTAAATATCTTTTGCTTATTTCTTTCTTTCCATGTGTTACAGTGAAACAAAAGAGTATTTATTCAGCCTCTGATTATACAAGTTCTTCTACTTAGAAAGTTAAGAAAAGTCTGAAATTGTCTTTAAAGGTATATTTCAACTATGAGAGATACAATGAGAAAAGAAAAGATCCAGAAAAATCATAACTTTTTGGCACAAACTCAACTTGTAACGTTTGGAGAAAGAAGAATGTTAAGATGCATCACAAAAACACCAGACTGGTTGTGAAGCATGGGGTGGAAGCATCACATTTTTGGGCTGTTTTTCTGCAAGATGGCTGTTTTTCTGCATGGCTCCTTAAACCCCATAAAGTATTTGTGTAGGGAAAGTTGAAATTTTGTGTTACCAAGCAGCAGCCAAACATCGCTACTCTTGTGGAGACCTGCTTGAAAGAATGAGCCAAAATACCAGCTATAAGCAAAACTGTTGAAGACTGATAAGAAACATTTGAGTGGTTGACTCCCTCCTCTGTTCTGATGCATTTTCCTGCTGCTCTGCAACTCCCTGATCTGTCCCTGCTTTGCTGGGTCTAGTCTTTTCTGAGCCCTCTCCTCACATCATCAAACAATATCTGGTCAGCTGGTCTCTCAATGCAATTGATCAAATTTTCTCAACTGATAGACAGGGAAAAGTAGACCCTTCCTGTCCTGCCGGGACATACATTGTGGGATACACCATGGATTCCTGGAAGGCTTGGCGGATGATGTGTTTTACAATGTTGTCAGTGGAGGACATCGAAGATGTATGGATTTTCAGATTTATAAGACTCTGATTTCTACTGTTTGGATTTG